CTCTTGCTCAAGCTGGTTTTGAACTCCTGAGCTCAAACAATCCGCCTGCCTCGGCCTCCCAGAGAGCTAGGATTACAGGCGTGAGCCACCGCGCCTGGCCAAAGATCATTCTCCTTAGTGAATGCATTTTAAAGATCTTAAACAAAATTAGATATGTCTTTGTCAACTCTTACTATCACATTACAGTTCTAAGAAGTGAGCTATTCCCGTTCTTACTACTCTGCCTCTGAATGATGAAAGGAGATCCTCTCATAATCCTTGCAATTTCCCCAAGCCTCTGGCCATTTTGAGTTCTAATCTTCCTTCAAATTCTTTCGGGCTCATGCTTTTAGTTGTATTTGTATTATAATGGATCAGCTGACCCTCCATCTTTCCCATGTGATATTTTTAAATGAACCTCCACAACTTTGAGAACATGAAAGTATGACTAATTGCAATCTGGCAAAGTCTTAAGGTTGTAAAGAAATTAGCATCACACACAAGAGTTTATGGCACCAAAAGTGGGCACAAACTTCTGGAAGGCTAATGACCAATATATACAAAAGCTAGAAAGCAAATACACTTTGACCCTGCAATGCCATTTCCCAGAATTTATCTCCCCAACTCCCAAATCATGTTCCCATGATTTTGGTCTAAAGATACTAATGCAACAATATTCATGATAGTGAAAAATGCTAAACAACCTAAATGTTCAGCATGTTTGAAAATAGCTAGTAGAAGAAATGAGGTTTGTCTAAAATGGCTATGATAAGTTTTTAAGAAAGGTAACAAAGTATACCATGAGAAATCAAAGATTGAGATGCCTCCTCCAAGTGGAAATAGATAGTATAGCTATACATCCACATGCCTGGATGTTATTCAGCCATCAAATATGATATTATAGAAAATATATCCATCCACGCATATGCATGTACACACACATGGATCTTAAAAGATATATGTTAAATTGTTAAGAATAGTAATCTTTGGACCATTTTCATTTTTTTCCTTTTGTTTTTCCATGTTTTATAAATTTCCAAATATTTCCAAAATGAAAATAACAGACTTTTAAAGATTCAAAGAAATGAATGAGAAACTATGCAAGGTGCTTCCTTTACCTGCCAAGAATTTAAAGTTCTATGAAAAAATTCAAATCCCTAAAGAATTATCAGTTTACTATAAAAATTTTCTAGGTCTGGCAACTTTTTTAGGGGGCTATCTTCCACAAAACATGTTTCCACTTCTATATCAGTAGGTCAATAATCATTTGATTGAGTCAATTGGTTATATGTGTGTATGTGTATGTAGTTATTTATACCAATATTTTCAACATTATTATCTTACGATAGAACATAGTATACATATATCATTTTATTACCCCTGAATCTATTATTATTTCATTTTTCATTATCTTTTATTTCCTTTCTCTCTTTTTCTTGATAAGTAATGCCAGAAGTAGGATATTTATTTAACCTGCAAAGATATTATTTAATAACCAAGAGAAAAAAGTATCCCAGCAATAAATACTAATATTTTAAAATCTATGATAAAGTCACATGAATTTTTCACTTAAAATCACAAATATGTAAACCCTAATAACACAGGGATATTTTACATGAAATATTTATTATGAGCAGAAACCGTATCATGCACACTTAAATTTCAACTATGTAAAAATATATCTGAGTATTAGCAAATATGAGAAGAAAATAACAGCATTGTAATTAATTACAGTTTAGGAAATTATTTCACTCTGTGTATTTGTGATTTAAACTTATAGTAAAATAATTCATGGTTATAAAAATAACAAGCTGTTGTTTACCACACTCTCTCTTTTTTCAGGTATATCCTGTGAGCCACCTCCAGCCATATCCAATGGCAACTTCTATAGCAACAATAGAACATTTTTTCACCATGGAGCAGTGGTAACTTACCAGTGTCACACTGGGCCAGGTGGAGAAAAGCTGTTTGACCTCGTGGGAGAACAGTCAATATACTGCACCACCAAAAATAATCAAATTGGTCTTTGGAGCAGCCCTCCTCCTCAGTGTATTTCTGTTAACAAATGCACAGTTCCAGAAGTTGAAAACGGAATTAGAGTATCTGGAAATAGGAGTTTATTTTCCCTCAATGAGATCGTGAGGTTTAGATGTCAGCCCGGCTTTGTCATGCGAGGGTCGGACACTGTGCAGTGCCAGACCAACAACAGATGGGGACCTGAGCTGCCACACTGCTTCAGGGGTGAGTTAGAGCCACTGAGGTTTTGCCACGGGGTGAAAGTGGATATAAGTGATAGGAGTTGTTGAAATTAAGGAAGAAGCGCATGTGTGTACGTGTG